ACCTGTACAAAGGTATTTTTGACAGAGGAAATGGAAAAGTGACTGTATATTAGGTTGTATTGGTAAGTTATTCATTGTATCAGATGCAATGATGGTATTGTGGTTGTGTGTTTTTTCAAAAGGTTTGAACGATACTGGTGTGTATTCCCGGGTGAAATGATTGAATATGATGTTTGAGATTTGCTTTACAATGTTCACAGAGATAGTGTTGGACCAGGCAGGTGAGCAGGATCTAGACATTGGTGGCAGTGGCCGAGGCTGGGTGAACTCCAGAGAGGCATGTAATGCTAGTGCTGCCATGTGTCACTCTGAGCTAGTGGGTTATTCAGTCATGCCAGTGGTAATCATATTTCGGTGGATCTTTGGTTTCCGGTGAGGACATGGCGTTGGCACCATGCGTCATGCTGGGTATGCAGTGCGGCACTCAGAGGACGGAGAACCAGCCTCACCCACCCATGGTCAGGCTGTACTGGGGCCTCAGCAACCCCTCGGTGCCCCCCACCGCCTCCTGTCCCGCTTTCCCTATGGAAACAGGAAAAGCTTAGTTTGCCTTTGCCCCTCCACTTTGTCAGTTCAAGTTGTCTGTGTGGGTGGAGTGGAACCTGACTTTTCCTTAACAGAAGAACTTTAATCTTGATGGGATACTATTTTTTATTTTTTTCTGGAAGCCTTTCTTATTTGTTTAGGACACTGCTTCCCATTTATAGCATCACTTAAGTGGGTAGAAATGTAAAGATCGTTCTCGTTTGGAGAGGGGTTTCTATCTAGCCTTGCGAAGGCTCCAGAAAACGAGCATTTTTACCCCTGGCTGTTGCTTCTTTCGAGCCCTCGGTCATTCTCCTTCCTTCTGTACTGAGAGCCAGTAAACCTTTCGAATCCAGCCTGGGGTAGAAGTTCCACGTTCTCACATTCGCTCATTTGCTGAAAAGCACTGTACTTGTTGGATCTCAGCTTCCAAGGGCTTAGCACCGAGAGTCTGGCATGTGTGTTCACGGTGAAACTTTCCAGGCTTTGCCCGGTCAGCTGCCGGGTGAACTTGCAAGTTTCGGCTTGTTCGGCAAGTCACTCAGGCCAGCAAGCCTGGGACTGAACTCCATCCCAGTATTTGTCTGAGAAGCTGTGGAATTCTCTCTCTAGAGACACAAATAGATCACCTAGAAAAAGAGGGCGTGGAGCTTTCTGCTGTCGGCACTGTGAGGAATCAGCTTCTCAGGATGGAGTACTTTTGTCACATGCTTCTTATGCAGATAAGGTGCCAGCACCAGCGTGGTCCTGCCCCCATTGCTCAACAGTGTGTGTCTCCAAGAATGCTGACACTGTAGGGAGGCCCCAGGCCTGAGCGCTCCTTTGAAGTCTTCTAGCAAAAACCAAAGGAGGATTGCTTGGCCTCCGGGAGTGGGAAGAGGGTGTTGGGGTGCACTGGGCCTCCCTCAGCCTGGTGAAAAGCCAGGCTGAGGAAAGGAGGGCTTTTCTGGACAGTTCAGCTTTACTGAGGGCAGAGGAAGAGGCAGCGAGAAGGTGGGGGAGGGGTCAGGGGGCAGGAACTCACCACAGTCACCGGCATGTCGCATGTGCTTGTCCCTTCCCCTGTAGAGACTGGTACAAGCGTAATTTTGCCATCACCTTCTTCATGGGAAAAGTGGCCCTGGAGAGGATTTGGAACAAGCTTAGACTGAAACAAAAGAAGACCAGCGATTACAGCCCACCCTGACCCGCCTGCCGAGGGCCAAGCTCCCATGAGAAGCGGCTGGTCTAGGGGTGCGTTTTACGAAAGCACCTAAAACCTGTAAGTGACCTGAGCCCCACTCCTTTATGGGGGCCCTCGGCTTACGTCGTTGCAGAGTGGACTGGGAGAACATGGGTCCTGGTGTACCATGGCCCACGTGGCGTGGCCCTTGACTGGCTTGGCTCTGACTCTTGGCCACAGAAGCAACGTTAAATAAAACCCAAGCACTGTGTGCCTGTTTTTTGTGTGTTTTTGAATGATACCAATTTGAAATTGAACAATGTAAAAATATTGATAAAACTTCACCTGAAAAATTTGACTCCATGGGTGGGAATGATGTGGACGCTGCTGCGGGGTTACCAGGCCCTCACGTGCCCAGCGAGCGTGACTCAGTGGGGACCTGATGAAATACAGCTGCCCTGGGCCGCTCGCACTACAAGTGCGGCTCGTCTGTCAGAGACGGCAGGTGACAGCAGAGGCACCTCCATTGACGATGGCGAGGGCGAGCCTGTTTCCAGTTTCCCCAAACAGCGTGCTACTGAGTCATGTCCCCCTGTTTAAATTCTTTTAAAATCAGCATTGTTTGAAGTAGGATCCATGGTTATGAAACGCTGAGGCCCTTTGCACTGCATCCTGGAGCTGTGTGGCACGGAGTGGGGTGGGGAGGTCGGGCCTGCACGAGGGACGCCTCCCTCAGCAGCCAGGCCATGTCAGTAGCGTGTCCTCTGAGGATAGGCGAGATATGTGGAATTAACCAAAAGCCACTGCCAAACAGTTCTTATTCCAAAATGAGGCAATAGAGTCGTAAGACTGGATTTTTTCTGTGGCTTCTAAACAGCTGCCACTGAAGATGATCTCCAAGGGGAAATTCCAGAAACTGGAGGAAGCACGTCACCCCGCTGAGGCCTTTAAGGGCCGTGCAGTGAATGAGGGTGAGCGTGAGTACCTCATCAGCCGTGCTGGTGGGCCGCATGCTGCCAAGCGCCATCGTTCCTAGAGAACAGGGCTCTGGGTCGGGCGCGCTCCGTGGTCCATTAGCCCAGGTTCTGTTAACAAAGGTCCCCAGAGAGAGGAGTCCATGCACCAAAGAGCATGGAACACAGGTTCACAGAAATACCACCGTATCATTCACTCCACTGCTGCTGCTAGATATAGATTCTCAGCCTGCCACCAGCAGGTGTGACACTGTGCGTCTGCAGAGAAATGAGGGACGCGGTGATAACCAGCAGGGGTAGGGCCCGGACAGGGCCCTTGGTTCCGTGTGGGCGAGCCCAGAAGACATGAACGGTTTCCTAGCTTTTAATCCCTCCTCTCATCCCGTCAGATTCACCGACTGACTTTGAGGTCGTCTAAAGAGCACCTTCTCCCTGGGTAATGTGAGTTTGGAATAAACAGCAGCTTCCAGTTGTGTCGACTCTTAATTCTTTTTTTTTTTAAAGATTTTTATTGGGGAATTGGGGGGATGGGAACAGTGCTGGGGAATTGGGGAAAGGGGAACAGACAAGTTGCTGTCGTTTTGTTCTTCAATCTAGTTGTGGAGGATGTTGCTTCACTGGCCCAAGTTGGCACCATCATTGCGCTCTTCTCTGGTGAGGCAGATCAGTCGCCGGCTTCTGGACGGCCGCTCACTGCGGCTGCTGGCCGCTCACGCTGGCTGCTGGCCACACACGGTAGCCCATGGCAATCCACTGCCACAGGGACTGCAGCCTACGCCGTCGCTGGCGACTCACGGCAGCCCAGCTCCAGGTTGAGCTGTTGTTCAGCATCTTAGCTGTGGAGGGCAGTGTCACTGGCCCTCATATATGGGATCCGAACCGGGTCCCTCTGGCATCCCAAGCGAGTTCTTAACCATCACGCCACTCGGCCGGCCCTTAATTCTTTTTGCACATCAGTTCTCAAGAGAATTTGATGGTGACTTTCCATAGTAACAGCAAAAGACAAGTAGATTGTCTTTTGAAAGGAAAGTTGCTTTTCAGGAAAGTGGATTTTACTGTGGGTGGTAAAGATGTGTGTGCTTGTGCTCACTGCATCATTACAAACTGTTCAAGCTATGTTACGTTACGTGTGACACGTCGCTACCTGTGACGGCAGAGGGAGAACGTGAAAAGCGCAATGTGTTTTGTGACCTCTGACTACTGAACAGCCACGCAGGGTGTGCTGTGAATAAGGGGCCTTTTCAAATGCAGGGGTGTCCTGAATCGCACCGGACATGTTGGGATTATGTTGTCCCAGGTTGGTGGCCTAGCGTCCGGACGGCTTGTTTACCGGATGGATCCCTGAGCAGATGGACTCTGTCTTCAGTGGTGGCTTGGGACCCACAACCAGTATTTACAGTGTACGAGAGATTTTACCAACTGTAGCCCTTCCTGCAACTTTCCGAATTTACCTGCTGAGATTCTCAGTTCCTAGAGTTAAGCCTTGGAATTTCAAGGAACGGAAACTCAAATGAGTTCTGGGCAAGGGTGGGGGGCAGGTAACTGTTAGATGCTAGAGATCTTCAGAAGCAGACAACCCAGGCCCCCTGCAGCGGGAAAGCCTGAGAGCCCGGGACCATGGCTGTCCAGCTGCCAGCTGCCTCCTTCCGACAGTGCGCCGGGCCTTGGGCAGACCCCTGTCCAGTGGGCAGGTGCGGAGCAGGCAGAGTGACCGAGGTGACACGTGCCATGCAGTATCAAGGCTCTTATCCTACCAGAGCCCCTCAGACCTGAGGCCACAGAGGTGCTACCTCCAAGGATGCTTGTTTTAAAGGGTGACTTTCAAAGCACATATGTTCTATATTCAGACAAAGGAAAGTGTTAAGTGGTTGTTTGACTCGTAAAATAAAAATTGTAAAAAAAAAAAAAAAAAAAAAGGAAAGCTTCCTTTGACAATTGTCTCTAGAAGGAGCAGTGTCCCATGGTGAGCATCCTGGGCTCAGAGGGGACGTAGGAGTGGCCGTGTCCTGCCGCCCTCAGCGATGGGAAGATGGCCGAGGCCCCAGGCCGCAGCACCCACGAGGCCCAGGGTCCAGAGTCCCAAATGGTTCTAAGTTGTCTCCGCTTGACATCAATTACGTCCTTAGACCCTGGGGATTCGCAGAGGAGTTTTAGCAACTCAGGACCTTAGTGTAGTCGAAATCAACACTTTTGTAATAACTAATAATGCCAGAAAGTCTAACTTGACTCATGGTGTTGACCGTTGCAGGGTCTTAGACGCTCTTTGTGAATTACCAAGAAATGACAGTACTGTTTTTCTCTTTCTTGGATTCTTAAACATTTACAATGAAATGATTATGGCAAATGTTCCTTTAAGTCACAAATAAATGCAAATAAATTGTAAGCAAGGTTATTTTGACCCTAACGTTTGTAGCTCAGTTAAGAATGTATTAGGTTGTTTTAAGATGGCTCTGTCATAGCCATATTCAAGTAAAGTATTTTTGTGGGCTTTTAAATAATTACAGAATAAAGGTTACTCAGTGATGTATTTTATACTGCTTTTCCCAGAAAACACCTGTGATAAAATTTAATGCTCCTGTTTTCTGAATTTAAAAGTAAAATAAAATTGAGTCTCTTTTCCCATCTGTGTGTTGGGTGTTGTTTGTGGACATTGGTTTTTTAATTGCTCATATCCACTCAGAAATGAAGAATCCAGGATTGGCCATCAGAAGGCCATGGGGACTCAGGTCACTGACAACAAGTCTGATCACAATGTCTATCCTTGTTTTGTTTTCATCCTGATACTATATTGGTAAAGCCTGCCTCTGAGAGGCAGTGAAGCGTCTTCAATAGCATGATTGCCCTGGAGTGGTCTGATGGGCTATGTCAGACCTCAGCTTCCTGTTGTAACACACACCTGGCAGAGCCCCGGCCAGACTCGACCTGGTGTGGTAGGTACGGTGTCTGGCATTTCACAGGCGCTGCGCAAATGTTAAAATTACAGTGACTAGTAATGCCGTCCAAAGGGCTGGTTCCTGAGCACCAGAGGCCTCCGCAGGCAAAGGTGACTGGGCACCGGTCCTGTCGTGAGTGAGCAGAGCCCCTAGCACCGGCTGGGAGAGGGAGGAAGGCACGCCTTGGGTGTCTTCCTGTCCTGGAGCTGTCGGCACACGGGGACCCTCAGGAATGGTCTGCGGAGTCCCGGAGGTCTCTCCTGTTACCCCTGCCCGAATATCTACACTCACACTGGCTCTGGGCCTGCAGCCTCATGCCCAGCTCTTCAAAGAAACAAAATTGCATCTCCAGTTGCAAAGAGGCCTTGCTCAGGCATCGGGCCGCTTTGGCTTTGGCCTTGTGAGTTCTAATCCTCCATCCCTCCAAGGACACAGCTGTGATGGGCCCTCCTAGCCAGCCCTTGGGGCTGTTCCCACTGCAAGGGCAGCGCTGTCTGTGCCAGAGGCTTCACAGTGGAGGAAGGCCCCCGCACACGACCCTCCCCTCTGCTAATGCGCAAAGACTACTGCAGACTGCCCGTTAAAGGGAAGCCCAGAACTCGGAAGTGTATGGTGAAGTTTTGTTTGGTGGTTTTTTCTGTTTTTCAAAACCCAGGGAGCCATATTCTGACTTTTTTTTTTTTTTTTTAATTTTAAGCTGAGCCATCCTGCTACCTGTTGGCAGCTTAGCGGCTGCTCAGCTCGGGTTGGGAATCGAACTGCTGTTGCTCAGAGCTCAAACTCTTGAGCGAGCTCTTAACCAACTGAGCCACTCAGCCGGCCCTCGTATTCTGACAGAGAAGATTGGAGCAGTGTGGGAGGAGCAGGCTGCAAGGGAACAGCCTTTCTCACGGAGAGTCAGCTCTCCCAGGAGAGGCTGGGTGTTTGGGCGTCCTCAGCGCTGCTTCCTCCTCTGCGAGGCGCACTCTTTGGGGGTTGCGAAGCCCTGTTAGGCTCCCCCTTGGACTCTATCACACTGGCATCTTGTTGTATTTCAAAGTAATTGCCTTTTAACAACTGACATGCCTTCTGAACATGTGCCCTAGCACCTTCGTTTCTTCCCAGGGTTTGCATCATCGTGCCAGGTGGTTTCATAATGATCAGTGGATCGTCTTTCGTCCTGTACAGGGAGTCCATCGGAGCAGCATCTGCCTGGGGGTCCCTTCTCCTGGGGTCCTGGGCTCGTGCCTCCTCCTGCTGGCCAGCTGGGTGCTGCACGCCCCTGAAGGGAGTGGGATAGTTAAGATGGCACCATTCATTCACCCTGCTCTCTGCTGGACACGGGGCTGCGTGTGAATGATTTATTGTTGCATGTGTCCTGTCAG